TTTTATTTTTGGTTCAACACTTTAAAAAATTTGAAAATCTCATTTCTGTACGGCTTTTCGGAAAAACGTCAATTAAAGGCATCAAAAAAATGTAAATTTTCACTTTCCAAGGACTCGAAACTTCTGGAAATCACCAAACTTTAGCGGACATTTTCTCATTCATTTTACCTCTGAAACCAGGCCACCACTACCCCCTTCTATCGCAAATATCTTGACTTCTGTTCAAGATAAAAGTGTATTTTTTTTCATCGAAAGCAAGATAAATAAACAGGATTTAAGATGATACTAATAACTCTATATTAATATTATGCCCTAAAATTGTCGAGTGCCTGCATTCCACCGCATTGACACATAATATATTTTTTAAAACTTTTTGTCTGATTGTTTGCTAATTCTATTGAAAACGAAGTCACCATCGACCACTTACAACAGATGACTGTTAGGACAAGACTTGTCCACTGACTAACCACATAGGTCAAGGGACCGGTGTCTGAGGTATAGCTGTTGAGCGGGTTGAATTCCCGAGAGGGTAGGACAATTTGTGAAGCGTGGTGACAAAATGAGTTACTTCTCGGATCCAAGCCTTATGGAAATAGATACATCACGCTATTAGGTGAAGTTTTTACTATTTTTACGGATGGAATGATAAAAGGTACGTTATACAAAAAGAACGTGGCGTAAATAGAAAATCTACTAATCGGACCCTATAGTGTCGACTTTTGGCCAATATTTCCGTTTGTGGATTGCGAGAAGTAACTCATTTTGTCAGCACGCCTCACATTTCTATCAAATATCTCGGTCTTTCTACTGGGATGTTGTATCCTTCTAGGTCTGGGTTGTCCCTGACAGGCAAAAATCAAAAGCCCGCTCCTATCCTAAATGATCTAAATTGACAATGACAATGACAATGACAATGACAATCTTTATTCATCTCGCAGGGACAAATTTGTCTTGGTCGTTAACAATGGCAGTAGACGTTACAAAAGTTAGATTCAAAGGTGCACTCACGCAAACGCCCAACAAGACAGGACATTAGGCCAAGTAAATACATGTCTCACCACGTGCTGGGACAACCCGCTCCGTAAAACATTCATTCTCTCTCTCTCTCTCTCTCTCTC